GAAAATAATTTTTAGCATTTATATTGTTATGCCTTTATATATAATATTCACAGCTCAGCCATATAATATACAATGATTACATTTCCTTTCTTGCGTAACTTTTTGTTTTCCCTGGAGTTAATAATTGCTTCATCTTTTTTTCATTTTGCCTTCAGTAATGCATTCGCAAACCCTCCTGACAAAACCCAAAATCTCTTCTTGGTAGATTTAAACAAATCATATAATCTACATCTTGGAGCCCCTGTCCTTTTGGTCCGCTATGGATTGGTAGCTCAGTATATTTCCTCAATTAAAAAGACCAAAAAATGGACTGGTTAACAGTTTGTGTCAGGAAGCAGGGAGGAGGGTTCAGAGCCCCAACTATGAATTAGGCCTTCATAACTGCTAACTGTATTCTATTCTCCTTCTTCCTTTTAGTGGTACTCCACCGCTGCCCCATGTTTAGGCACTTGGCTGTGCAGATAGAGACTGGATTTCCCAGTCTCCCTTACTGCTAGAAAACAAATTACTTGGTGACAGAATGAGTAGAAGTTACGAATGCCACTTCTTTCCCACTCCATCTTCCCTCCTTCTTGAGGACTAAAACATGAAAACGGCTCTTAGAAGCCAGCTTCAACCAAGAAGACCACCTACCTCCAGACTGTTACCTGAAAAGAAATAAAATTCTACCTTGTGATAAATAATATTTGGACCAAATCTGGTTTAAGACATAGCCTTTTCCACATGTTATAATTCACAAGCTCCTTCTGGTAAGACACTAGCATTCTTGACAAAATGCTGCAGCAATATCCTAATAAATTTTAATTCAAGTAAGACCTTTTCTAGGAAGCAAGCTTCCCATCCACTCATCTGTCACTTATTCAGGGTGCTAATGATTTGGAATTCAGACGATCATTTTTCTTGTGTCTGGACAAACAAAGAATATCTAACCAGTCTCTATCCTATAAAAGAGAAAGGTCTCTTTGAACCAATATGGTCATAGCCTGTTTCCTCATGACAATCCTGAAATAAAACTTTGGCACGTCATCCTACTTAATTGGTCAGAAGACTTGTTTGAGCCACTGTAATGTGGGGCCTTTTTGTTACAGCAGCTTGGCTGCACTTTAATTAATAGAGCGGGAAGGGCTATCTCCCACCCACCCCACTGGGCAGAGACTCCTCCACAGGTGAGACCCTTTCCTCTCTGGGTCTGTGTGGGCCTCACATATGCTGCTAAGCATGTGATCTGGCCTAGATGTGCTGAATTTGAATTTGAAATTGAAATGGGAACTAGCTGGGTCTAATCTGCTTCCCCCTCAGACTACAAGCAAGTTAGATTGAATACCAGTGATCATTCTGGTCTTTAATGAGGAACTTTGACAAACACCAGCCATGCTCAGCTGTACCAAAGGAAAAGGTGTTTGGTCAAAGCATCAAAGAACCCTACGGGAGAGAACAGACCAGAAATGGAGTTAGACCTTAACTGACCATTTACTGCGTACCAGGCATTTTACATGCTCTACTCATACAATTCTCCCAACAAGCCCACCAGGGGGTATTTGGAGTAAACCTTAGCAGCTTTGCCTGCCCACCATCCATGGGGGAAAAGGGGACTAGAGAAATTAATAAAAACAAAGGAGGGTCCCTATGCGGACCAAGGACAACAATGTGCTGTAAACTGAAAAGAAGAATTAACTCAGAGTTCTGTGCACCTAAGTTCATAATGGAAATTAAGGGAGTGAGAGAGAATGGAAATCAAATGTCAGAAGGGGACTCAAGCCCAGTCTGCCCCATTGTGAAGCCAGGCCTTGGAACCTCCTTATCTAGCCTGGGATGGCCTATGTCCCCTGGGGCCTAGGTCAGGGAAGCCAAGAGGCCGGGGCTTGGGCCGGGATAGACAGGATAGATGAGGCCTGGCAGTTACTATTCTCCATGTCCTGGTTCCTGGGTTCTGGAGGGCTAAGAGCTCAGCAGACAGCCCCCATGTATGGTCCGAGCATTTCCAGCCAGGCAGGCATGGGCCCTGGGTCCATTGGAAAAGGCCTGGGTTCTTTGGGAAGCAGACAGGCTCTCTCAAGATCAAAACATCTCAAGCCTCTTCCTTTTTTGAAGGCTCATTATGTTCTGGAAGCATTAAAAAATCATGAAAACGGCATTATGAGGACCGTGGTGTATCTTAAATGTTTATGCCTGTCTGATTAACACTTTACACACACACACACACACACACACAGTGTGATACAGTCATTCCGTCCACAAGATAATTAGAGGATTCATAAAGGACGTGGACTGTGTGTTGGCGGGGGGCGGGGGGGTGGTATTTGTGATGGGACGCACTCTTAATGCCCCAGGAATGTCCTCAGTTCTCAATCTTGTCAGAAAAATTGCCTGAGTCTGTAACTGAATGTATAACCGCATGTAGAAATAATACCAGTTTCTATCCAAGTCTCTCCAGGACGTGAGGCCTGGACCACACTCTCCCCATGCCCAAGACAGATCTGAGTCAGGCCTGAGCCTGGAAGGATGGTCAGGCTGAAACACCAGAGCCAAGAGTTGCAGGCGACTCCAGCCCCCCAGATCTGGTGGGGCTGCTTTAGCTGGCCCACAGCCGGCCCATAGGTCGGTATGGGGCTGGGGCAGGGGCGGTGGCCAGCAGGGGCTGCTATCTCTTTTAGGGGAGGGAGCAGCAGGTGAATGGCTGAGATTTAAGGATTTAGACCCTCCAAGATGCTTGAGGCAGAGTTGACTCTTACCTTCCCTCCCTAGGTCTGAGCCTCCAGCCCCCACGCCCAGCCCAACAGCCAGGCCCAGCCACCCAAACAGGAGACAGGCAGAGCTTCACAGCCACTAAGAATTAAAACCTATTGATTTTCCCCATTAGCTAGAGAACACCATCAGAGTGCATTAAAACCAGGCAAAGCACCAGCATTGTGAATAATTAACATCCGCAAATGACAACCCCTGGACCTAGAGGAGGGGGAAGGTTGACTGGAGCCCTGGGGCACACTGACCCCTTCTGACTCCCATCCCAGGGAGCCAAAGCCTGGACTCCCTTCGGGCCCTCCCCTAATCTCCACTCTTCTTCCGGTCCCCGTCTTTTCCTCAGAGAAACACGAAGTCTCTGAGGCACGTGATCCTGGCTGTCCTGGAGCAGGGAGCACAGAGCACCGAGAAGACAGTCAGGCTGCGGGGCTTGCCTGCGTGTCCCTGTGTGACCTCTGGGGAGTCCGCCCTTTCTGGACCCCTAAGGGTTGGATTAGCTGGCCTGAGGCTAGGTCTCTAAATCTATGGTTCCAGAGAGGGCCAGTGGCTGGCCCAAAGCACACAGTAAGTCTGCAGCAGAGCCTGCACTGGAACCTGGGGCCCTGTGTCATTCCCCCAGCCCAGCCTATGGGGCGCTTGTGCGAATCAGAACAAAGTCACCCGCTTTAGATAGACTAATTCAGATAAGGAACCCCTCTGGGCAGACCAATTAGAAAAAGGCACCCCCCTCTCCTCAAGCTGTCACAGCTCTAAAGGTGCAATGCAAGGCTTGGCAGAGGAGGGGTAGGGTGGATATCAGCCCCCACTCACCATCTGCCCGCGTTCCCTGTGCAATGTCAGCCTAAACAGCTGAGCTGACCCTCCACCCACCTCCTCAGCCCCTCAGCGGCTGACCCAAGTTCCCACTTACACCCTCCTCCCACCCATCCTTTCCCCTCAGAGTCCTGGGAGGGCCAACGCTGGAATGAATACCTTCTACATCTCTGACCGAGTCACCTCCATCATCTCCCTGCCTTGCAGAGCACCACCATCGGTTCATGCCTCTGGGCCTTTGCATATACTCTGTTCTTTCTACTCTTGAGCCCCCTGGAAAACTCAGCTTATCGAGCTTGAAGACTTTCTCCTCTGCCCCTCCTCTCTTCCTCAGACATGCCAGCTAAATCTTGCTACTGGGCCCTTGCTGCTGCCAATTCCTCTTCCTGGACTGTCCTCCCTTCAGGTCTGGCCCCTGTCCTCCTCCTCCTGCAGGTTACAGCTCCAATGTTACCTCCTCCAGAGGTCTTCCGTGAACACTTTATAGGTCCACCTCCCCATCATCAGCCTCTCTCGCATCTGTTCTATTTTTTTCATAGCACTTTTCACACTCTGAATTTATTTTTCCCTTGTTTATTGATGCCTCCAGGCCACTATGAATAGCTGTGGATGTTGTAAATTGCAGATAAAGTGAGTGGGGCTGACACCCAGCCTGCAATCCACACTACAAGCTGGCTGGGTGTTGGGGAGCGGTGCACCTGCTGGGTGGGAGCACCTGTCCCTGAATCACACTAGGGCACCATGTAGATGGCTACGGCCCCATTGGTCTTCCACCGGGACAATGCCAAGCCCTCTAAGGCAGGAATGGTGTCTGCCCTCTTCACTTCTGTGTGCCTGGCACATAGCAAGTCCTCAACAGATCTTTTCAAGCAAACAGATTCTTCTCAGATCTCCTATAGGCACTCTCTCCCCACACTCCTCAGTAGAATAAGTGGCTGTGTGCAGTGCATCGCTGGGTCCCACGGGGGCTGGGTGCAGTACCCCTGGGTAGGTTCCGCAGGAAGCCAGCGACGGAACTAGACCTGGAGTCAGTGATGCTATTGTTAAGGAACACAGGGCAGGGACGGGGTGAAGCCACTGAGCTGAGGGTGGGTAGTGGTATGAGTGGAGGAGCCCTGGGGACACTCTCTGCAGCTCAGAATCCTGTGCGTCCCTGAGGGGCTGCCCTGAGCCACCCGTCTCACCCAGCTCCCTGCAGTGTCCAGGGAGGGTTCAAGTGGCCAGGGCACTCTGACCAAGATACAGATGCAGGAGGTCACATCTGAGGGTCGTTTAGAGGCAGGCCAGGCTCAGTGGGGGACAGGGCTGAGGCAACACCCCTGTGTCCACCTGTTCTCCCTGCTCACCCCCACCCCCTGCTCTGGCAGGGAAGGAGTTAACCTCACCGCTCCTCAGCACGAATGTGGAGCTATTAATACCCACAGCCTAGCCGGTCTGCCAGAGCAGCCACTGGAGTCAGAGGGAGCAGGGAGCAGAGGGAGCGCGCTCCAGTCTCCAGTCAGAGCCAGAGCTGGAGCTAGGACTCGAGGGGCCAGAACTTTCCTTGGGGACGGTGTGGGCACTGTGCCCGCCTCACCGGGTCCTCGCCCACCTTTCAGCTTCAGGCCCTGACCCTCCCTCCTGGAGGCCACCCATGCCACCCACTTCAGCAGGGGAGAACAAACTTTCTTAGGGAAACCACCTCTACCGCCGTGCTGGGTGAACAGGGAGGAGCCGACGCCTGGACAGACAGATGAGCAGATGGACAGGACACCTGAGAGCCTGTCCTCCCAGCCTTGCCTTTGACAGGAAGCAGCAGAGCGGGCAGCCGAAGAATCTAGGGCTCCATAGGGGCAGCGAGAGGCCCTGCTGGACCTTTGACGGCCAGTGAGCCATTTCTGAGTCCTGGCAACCAGAAGCTGCTTCCTGAGGTTTAGCACTGTGGCTGGAAGTCCTGTGGGTCAGGACAGGAGTCCCCACCAGACAGAGCCATAGGCTCTCCCACCCACCAAGGCAACGGGTAATCTGAGTGAGAAGGCACAGGTGGCAGGTGGGCAGGCGCAGGGTCCTGAGGCCAGCAGGCTGCTGACCCTGGAGCACTCTGGCTCAGGGACCCCTGCCCAGACCGAGGATGCTGCTGTCGAGACGACCACCAGTCACCCCTGTCCGGTCCTGGAGCTGCCTCCAGCCTGGCCCCTCGGCTGTGGATCAAAGGATGTGCCAGCCTTCTGCTTCGTCTGCTTTCACAAGGAGGAGGAGGAGGAGCTGCTGGAAGAGGTCCCACTGCAGAGGTCAGTCCCATGGGGGGACAGTGGGTGGGCCGAACAAGGCCACAGGGCTCAAGCTTGGGACCCCTCAGGGCCTGGCAGACTTGCTTCTCAGCCCCTTGGTCCGCTGCTTACCACCCACCGCCACCTCCCTACACCAGACTCTCAGATCTCTCACCTGTCTCTTCCCTGTTTCTCCCATCCTGGCTGCACAGTGACCTTTTTGTCCTCTCCCACTGTGGTCATGCCCCCTCTGCTCAGAGCCCTCCATGGCTCCCAGCTCCCACAGGACGAAGTGGACACTCAGCTGGGCATTCAAAGCCTGTGTGATCCAGCTGGCCCCACCCATCTCATCCCACTCTGCTTCCCCGTGTTCACTCCCCGGCGAAACTCTGCTCAGACTTCCCTGCCCCAGCCCCACCCAGGCCCGGCGGCACTGCCTCCTCCTTCAGGAAGCCCCAGCTCCACCCTGAGCTGAGAGTCACCTTTCCTCCTCGCACTGAACGGACACCTGATAGTGTTGAGTCCCTGTTGAATTAATCAGTTGAAATGACTGTGTTTATATGCATGTTGCGGGGGGGAGGGAAGGAGGGAGCAAAGGTTTGTGTAGCTGTGTGACTGGGTATTTGAGAGTGAGTGTGTGTGACTGTGAGTGTACGTGCACGTTTGTGGAAGCACTTGTGAAATCTATGTATCTATGTGGTAAAGGGGTTGCGCACTGTGCCTGGGTGTTGGCATGCCCTAGGGCCCATTGTCCCTATTGCCAGTTCTTCCCACCCCCCACCTGCAGGCTCCGGCCAAGTGCATTACTCAAGCTGTACCACAGGCTCCCAGGATAGACGGAAAATCTGCAGGGTAGACAAGAGTCACCCCTGCTCTGACCCAGCCCACCCACGCCTCCGTCACTGCCTGAGTCAGCACTGCCCTGGGTGGGGAAAAGGGCAGGCTCAGGGCCAGCTCAGGTGCCCCCCCAGGCCCTTTGCCAGGAGGGCAGTGCTGTGGGCTCCTGCTGCCTGGGCCAGCTTCCTCCCTGAATCTCTCTGTCAGACCCTGGGTCTGTGGTTTTCCCTCGGTGGGCCTTTGTCTCCTCTCCTGTGAGATGCGGGGGTACTCCTGTCACGGCCACTAGTTTATCATTCAGCAAACAGCGACTGAGCACCCACAGAGCGCCAGGGCGTACACTGCAGCGGAAGCCCCAGGCCTCACAGGGCCACAGCCTGCTGGGAGAGACAGGCAAGCCGACAGACTTGTCTGACAGAGTGATGGGCGCCTTGATAGGCGCGGGTGCACTGCTCTCAGGGAGTCAGGGAAAGACTGAGCGGTGGGAGCCCTGCCGTGGGAGTCCTGCTGGTCTGTCTTACAGTCCAGACCAAGTTAGGAGAGACTCGAAGGGCTAGACCGGAGGTGTGGAAGTGCTTCTTGAACTCCAGAGCAACGAACTCCTAAAGAATCGCTATTTTTACTGTAGGAGTTCAAAATCCTTGTTGAATGAGTAAATGAACGAATGAATGAATATGACACAGGTAGACAGGCCATCAAAATCATCTGAGTTGATTGTTAAAAAATACACACTGCCCTGGCAATTTGGCGGCCTCAGGTCTTAGAGGGGATGGATGTGTGGTTTTCATCAGTCCCCCCAGTTGAACAGCTTGAGCAAACCAGCATTTGGGAAACCCGGGAAAGAGAGACACCTTCAGGCCGGGCAGCCGTGAATGAGTTCCTGCCCTCTTCTCTCATCCCCTCCATTTCCCACCTCCAACTTTGGGGACTCCTTGTAGGGGATGCCCCTCTGCCTCCTGCCCTGGCAGTATGGTGGTCTGCGTTTGCAGTCTAGTTTCCAGCTAGTGGGACGCTGGCCCTTTAAGGCCTGGGGAGGGGACACCGCCAGGCTGGGCAGAGAGAGTGACCACAGGTGCCAGGTGGTGAAGCTAAAAATACTGAGTGATGTGAACACCCAGGCTGCGGGAGCCAGGCAGTGTTGGCTGGGGTGGGGGAAGGCAGGCTCTGGAGCGCTTCTGTCCTGCTGGAGGAGGGGCAGTGAGCAGCGAGGTTTGGAGGGTCACCTTGGGGTCTTAGAGGAAACTGCCGCCCCCGCCCCGCTCCTCTCAGAATTTCTCCAGCCCTGGGAGATGCCAGGATTCCTTCCCAGTTGCCAGCTGTCATGGTGGCAGCGCTGGCGCATGCAGATTCCACAGCATCCTGCTTCCTTGTGACCCTGGGGAAGTCATTTCTTCTCTTGGGGCCTCTGTAAATTGGAAGGGCTGGGCTTTCTCAGGCACTGTGAAGGTCAGAGAGGCAATGAGGGGTGCAGGTAACCAGTTCACTCACTTGTGGATTCAACAAACTTTTCCCTGAGACCTCCTGGGAACTGGATGCTGAGGCCACAGAGATGAACATGGCACAGGCACTTCCCTGGAGGAGCCTAGCGAGGACAAGATGACACACTGGAACGATTGCATGCGGTGCAATGCGCTGCGAGAGTGTGAGCGCCGTGTCCTTGGCTCCTGTTGCGGGGTGAAGTGAGGAACTGCCCACAGAGAACACATCTGCGTCTGATAAAAAGTCGTTTCAGTGAAAGCATCATCCACAATATTGCTCACCAGCCACCAACATAGGTACTCTGATGTATTGACTAAGGTGAGCTACCTGTTGTAACAAATAAACCGGGAAATCACAATGGTTTGACTCAGTAGAGCCTATATGCTGCTTCTGCCAGGGGGAAGGAGACTCTGCTCGCCTAGTCTTTTGGGGACCCAGGCTCCTCCCACCTTGTGACTCTGTCATCTTCCTCTGCAGCCACTGGAAGATGAATAAGAAAAAGAACGGGGATCACATGTGAAATTTTTATGAGCCAAAGTTAGAAGTGGCCCGCTTCACTTCTGCCCGCACTCACTGGCCAGAACAGCTAATTGCAAGCAAAACTGGGAAATGTAGTCCAGTTGTGGCAATTTTTTAGGGTTCTTGTGCAAATAAAACATTTGGTATACATGAAAGAACTTGGCACATAAAGGTATCCAATGTGTTCATTCAAACGTTCATTCATTCATTCATTTATCCATTCGTTCTACAAATTTCACTGAGCACTCTCTGTGGGCTAGCACTAGAAACTGGACAGTGAACCAACCATTCCTGCTCTCGTGGGGCTTTTATCAAATGGGGGAGCCAAACAAAATACAGGTCAATAAATAAGTAAATAAATAAATAAATAAGATCATCCATGTTCAAACCCAGTGTTAAGAACATAACCAGAGGGATGGTGGGAGAGGCACCTACTGTGTATAAGGTGAGCAAGGGAGACAAGGACGTTCCTGTTCCTACCTAGACAATGAGCAAGGGCTAGGCAGAATGGACATCGTAACGGCCAGCAAGAGCACAGAGTGCAAAGGCCCCGCGGCAAGCCAGAGGTTGGCGAGTGTGCAGAAATACTAAGGCAGTGTTGGTAGCGCAGAGTGCAAGATGGGAAGAATGACACAGGGTGATGGGGAGAGCCGGCGAGGGGCTCGATCCCATAGACTTTATGGGCCAATGTGAAGAGAATGGATTTTTCTCTGGATGGGAGTGGGAAGCCTTGTGAGGCTTTTAAGTAGGGGAAGCAGTATAACCTGATTGACATTTTAAACAATCCCTCCAGAGGCTCTGGGGAGAATGCATGGCAGCTGGGTCAGCCTGGGTACAAGAAACAAGCGTGGAAGTCACGGTGATGATAGAGGGGACATAGTGGCAGCCTGGACCAGGCTCTCCCTGAAGGAAGTGGATGCCTTCTAGATATATTTGTGAGACAGAATTTGCTGATGATTTAAAGCAGGGGTGTCCAACCCTTCGGTGTCTCTGGGCCACACAGGAAGAAGAAGGGTTGTCTTGGGCCATGCATTAAATACACAAACACTAACAAAAGCCGATAAGCAAAAAAAGATTTTGAGTAAATTTATGATTTTGTGTCGGGCTACATTCATATGCATCCTGGGCCTCGGGTTGGACACCCCTGGAAACTTGAAAGGAAGAAGGTAATGGAGAACAAATCGGGGCTTTCTGGGTGGGATAAGTCCATGGGTGATGACAGGCTCGGCGGGGGGAAGGGGTATGGTGAGAAACTCAAGAACTCTGCCACGGGTGTTTTCAGCTTGAAAAGCACGTGAGACGTTGAAAAGATGTCAAGTGAGGGCTTGATAGCAAGAGTCTGAAATCAAAGGGGAAGTCTCCTTGCTGGTGATAGGCCATCAGAAACAACACAAAGATGGCGTTGGAAGCCACGAGATCACACTAAAGAGAGAGGGCAGAGAAGAGGCCCAGGATCGAGTCCTGAGGAACTCCACAATTTCAAGGTCATGCAAAGGAGAAGCCAACAAGAGTTGGAGAGAAAGAGCAGCTAGCAAAGCTGAGGAAACCCAGGAGTGTGGGCAGTCACGGAAACCAAGGAAGAGTGTCCTAGGGAGGAGAGGGAGTGGACAATTGACTTCGAAGATGCTGAACAGCCAGGAAAACAAGGATTCATTTAGCAACACAGAAGTCAAAACTGACTTAGATAAGAACGTTTCCTGGAGGGTGTATAGACAAAAGCAGGGGCAAGCTGGAGTCTTCTAGTTAAAGACGGTGGATTGAACAAACACACTTAACTTCTCTATGTCCTGGATCCCCATTAAAAGGAAGTGAGTGGATATTTTAAGGTATGTACAGTAGTCCCCCATATCCACTGTTTCACTTTCTGATGTTTTGTTTCCCTGAGGTCAACTGAGGTCTGAAAATATCAAAAGAAAAATTCCAGAGGAAAAAAACAACTCACGTTTTAAATGGCGCACCGTTCTGAGTGACACAGTGAAATCCAGCGCCTTTGCGCTCCCTCCCCAGGCACAGCGCTTGTGTTCAAGTCCCCCTTATTTTACTTAACGACGGCCCCAACGTGCAAGAGCAGTGATGCTGGCAGTTCAGATTTGCCAAAGAGAAGCCACAATGTGCTTCTTTTAAGTAAAAAGGTGAAAATTCTTAAAAAGGAAAGAAAAAAATCATATGCCGAGGTTGGTAAGATCTAAAGTAACAACAAATCTTCTATTCATGCCATTGTGAAGAAAAAGAAATTCATGCTAGCCTTGCTGTCGCACCTCAAATAGCAAAAGTTATGACCACATGGCATGATAAGTGCTTAGTTAAGATGAAAAAGGCATTAAATCTGTAGGTGGAAGATGTGGACAGAGAACATGCTCCAATGGATGGCTTGTTGCCCCTGAAAGCATTGAGCTTATACAAAGACTTCCGCCAAGGCCCCCTGCAACAAGTGACAGCAAACCATTTACTGCAAGTAAGGGGTGGTTACACAGATTCAGAACA